ATCAGGAGACGACATGGATGCTAAGTGATCTTTTGTGGTCCAGTTGGCGTGGTTGCTATGTGATCCTCCACGTTAAGCCCCTTGATTTGGCCATGTTAGAGCCCCTTATATTATTGACCAGATGATATGGTATTATCTAGGTTATTGAATTGGATGATGTGGTATCATCCAAAACTTCATGTATTTCCAACCCCTAAAAAGTCATGGTAGAATTATATGGACATCTAAGGTCGCGTACTTTTGGTTATGGGACCTCATTAGACCTGTCTAAGCCATGACGATGGTGTCAGACTGTGTCTATCATGTGTGGAAATTTGTACAACCTCTGCAGAGCGTATTGAATCTATTCGAATAGCCACGTCCTTGGAATGGGAAAATGCTGGGATGAGATCTTATGATTAGACTCTTTTATGTGTAATGAAACTGTGTTACTCTCGTAAGTTGTAATCAATTAAGCTGGTAAGTAATAACTTATAAACTTCAGGAACTAGCGAGAAGGATTGATACTGTCTTAGGACCCAAACCCCCCTTGATGAACATACAACTCCACCTCCAACACATACACCTCCACCGTCATAAACTTCCACCACCACAATCCACCTCCCACCTCCATCAACCACCTCAATCAAGCCTCTACCATCCACTATCCGCCTTACCCCAAAGTTAGGTCTTGCTGAGTACTTTTGTACTCAATCCCCTCCATTCTATATTTTTAGGAAACAAGCTACTGGAGTACCTATAAGGCTGGAGCTACCGAGGACTACACAAGGATAGGACAATGGGGATGTCCAGAAATGGAAGCCGTACGATTACTCAAGAAAGCTACGCTAGGACTACTACGATTAAGATATAGGATTAAGCATAAGGATAGGGTTTTCGTTCGCACTCTAAGTTGCCTATAGGAATGGAGCCATGACGTCTTAGGACTGCTATGATAGAACTCCGATATTCAATATAGGGCCAAAGGCCCACTCTATGTAAACACAAACATTGTAATATGTTTTCTCCAGTAGCAATAAAAGTATGGTTTTTGATATCAATCTTGTTCAACCGTGCGTGTTAGCTACTGATCCAGGGACTGATACACGATGCACAGAGAACCCTAAATTAGGGGCCCGACACTAAGTCTCAACCGACTAACGATCTTCATACGATAACAAGCATTGATTATCATAGAGTATTAGTCAAGTCTTACGCGATACCTGGCCACTTACAGACTAAAATGATCCATAAGATTCAAACAAGTCTTTTCCACATATTAACTGTTTACAGGCACACACAGGCCTAAGACAAATCTAGTCGTTTTACATAGGAGCTAGCTATCTCCTCATATTCTTTTTTGGCAGCTCCTATTTGGTCTACAGGGAAGTCGTCTGCATCATCATTACTTGTCAAACTAGACAAGTCGACTTCATGGAAGAGCAAATGGACTACTCCAAGAACCCGAGCGATGTAGAGTTTTGTAGCATTACGCACATAACCTTCCACACGTCTGGATACCCGCCTGACCACCACTATAGGCGACTTGGTCATCTTTAGGGGCAGCAAAGAGGGCAAGAACTGGTTTTACAGCTTCACGGAGAGCTTCAAACTCAGTCCACACCTCCTTCAACTGCCAGGTGAGTTGCCGTGTCGTCTTCAATCCCTGTAGCAGGTCTCAGTCAGCTCCTCGACGGATCAATTTAGCTTGAGCAAGCCCTTCCACGGACCGCTCAGTTACCTCTTCAAGCTCATTATGCTTTTGCTGGACGATTTTCTTCAGCTCCACCGCTTTGCCTTCCAGCCTCTTGGTCTTCTTTATCTCCTCTGAATCGCAAATGAAATCAGAACAAGAGAACCAGTAGGCTATATTCAACAAAGGGCATACAAGCAAAGCATAACAACAAAAGTTATGAGTACCTACCTTGCAGCTTCTGGTCTAGGGCACCGGCTGCCTTTTGGCTGTCTTCTGTCTTCTTCTCGGCAACCTGCTTTTGCCAATCCAGCTCGGCAATCTGCGCCCGAAGGATCTTGATGGTTTCAAGATGTTGCTTTTCACTCGCTTTCCACTCGGACTCCTTCTCAGCCAAAGTTTTAAATCTCTGGCTATAGCTCTCCGGCTATTAGCTGTTTTCATTTAACTTTTTGCGCTATGAAACAAAAACAACTAATAGTTGGAGATCTCCGGAGATTGCCGCTACACTGGGCTCATTTTAGCGGCAGCCAAAATTTTTGCGGGCCCAGAAAATGAGTTAGCGGCCCATCTTATCCCAATTTCCCCCCACCCCCATCGTAACCCAGCACCCCTAGCTCACTCCCATGCTCGTGACCCAACTCTCTCGGTCTATCTACCATAGAAAAGGAGGAGGCGGCTTCTGCTTCGGCGGCGGTGGCTGCGGCGCGCCGGCGAGGGGCCCCCAAGCGGCGGGGCCAGTCGGAGGTCCAACTCAAAGCTGGCCCCCCCAAGAGGCGCATCTAGCCAGAGCTTCAAGCGGTGTGGCCAGCCGGAGATCCAAGTGGCGGCGGCGGCGGCGGTGTGCAGCACGAGTACGGGCGAGGCAGCACGAGCAGTTCTTCGTCTTCCCAACCCCAAGCAGCGCCTTCATCTTTAGTTCTTCACCTTCCCCAACCCTAAGCAGCAGCAACAACACAAGTCACCGGACACCATGGCAGATCAACAAAGTAACTTTATTCTCTTATGATCTGCTAGTTTTGAATTTGTTCTCTGTATTTTGTAGCCTGCGTGAACTGCTACCTGTGTCCTGATGTGTTGTATAATATTTTGGGCCTAGTTTAGATCTGGAAATGTAATGATACTTTTTCGAGGAACTATGGCATAACCTAGTACTACTATGTAGTTTATTGTTGCATGCTATGGCTTCTAACTGATCCTGTATGTGCACATGTTAACTCAAGCATTGTACTTAACTCGAGCTACCATATTAATTTTGTTGCCTTTTTGTGTCTGCTCTTTGCATAGGTAATCCATCTAGCACCGCCTCTGCCCTAGTAGCAGGTGCACAAGCACGAGCACAACGTGCTATTAACTCAGATGACCCTGCATGGTCTCATTGTTACTGCCCAGGCATAACTAAGAAGCAAAGTCTGAAGTGCAAATACTATGACAAGCTCTGCAGTGGTGGAATTACCAGAATAAAGTACCATCTTGCTAGGATTAAAGGAAACAATACTACTAAGTGCTTGAAAGTTCCACCTCCAATGCAACAAGAGATGTTTGCTTTGATTACAAAGAAGACTAGTGAAAAGGAAGAGAAAGCCAAAGAAAAGGAAAGGGAAAGAGCTGAAGTTGACATAGATCACTCAGACTGTGGAAGTGGCAGTGAAGATTCAGAACATGGCAATGTTGTTCTTGTGGTGAAGCCAAAGGAAACAAATGGATCTAATAGCTCTAGATTTGTAGTAGGTAGTGGTTCTATTGAGAAGTATTACAAGCCGCCTTCTATAGAGGAGTCTGCTAAGACCAAGCTAAGCAACAAGGTTCAAATAGCATTGACAACTCAGAAAAGAGAATAGAGGAGGGATAAAACTTGTGAGTACATATGTCAGTGGTTCTAGAAGCTAGCATTCCACACAACACAATCAGCCTTCCTAGCTTTGCTAATATGTTAGAGGCCATTGGACAATTTGGTAGAGGTCTAAGAGGGCCCAGTCCCTATGAGATGAGTGGACCATTCTTGCAGAAAAGGAAGGAAAAGGTGTTGGATGGATTCAAGGAGCAAAAGGAGGCATGGGAGCTCATAGGTTGTTCAATCATGACAGATGCATGGACAGATAGGAAGGGTAGGGGAGTGATGAATTTAGTTGTGCATAGTGCTCATGGGGTACTCTTCTTAGATTCAGTGGACTGCTCAAGTGATAGGAAAGATGGCCAATATATCTTTGACCTTGTGGACAGATACATAGAAGAGATAGGGGAAGAACATGTTGTCTAAGTGGTGACTGATAATGCTAGTGTCAATACAACTGCAGCAAGTCTATTGACAGCAAAAAGACCTTCAATATTTTGGAATGGATGTGCTGCTCATTGCTTGGATCTCATGCTAGAGGATATTGGGAAGCTTAGACCAGTTGAGGAAACAATTGCTAGTGCAAGACAAGTGATTGTGTTCTTGTATGCTCATACTAGGGTGTTGGATTTGATGAGAAAATTTGTTAAGAAAGACTTGGTTCGCTCTGGGGTTACACGATTTGCCACTGCTTATTTGAATCTCAAAAGCTTGCTGGACAGCAAAAAAGAGTTGATAAAACTGTTTAAATAAGATGAGATGGAAGAATTGGGTTACTTGAAGCAGGCCAAGAGGAACAAAGCCAACAAAGTGGTCAGGTCTGAAACCTTTTGGAAAAATGTTGACACTACAGTTAATTTCTGAGAGGTTTGACAATGATAAGAGCCGCTTCAAAGAGGTTTGGGAAATCATTGATAAAAGATGGGACAACAAACTTAAAACTCCACTACACATGGCTGGTTACTATTTGAACCCCCACTACTATTACCCAAATAAGTCAGAGATCGAGAAAGATGGATCATTTAGAGCAAGTGTGATTTCCTGTATTACAAAGATGGTTGATGATGAAGAAACCCAAGACAAGATATTTGAAGAACTCGGCATGTATCAAATTCAGTAAGGGAGTTTTGGACATGAAATTGCCACAAGGCAACGAAAGAACAAGAATTTCAATCCAGGTGAACAACTGAATATATGAACTTAATTTGATTGCTGAATATCATATTTTTGTTGTAACTTGTTTAATGTTTATGCAGCAAAATGGTGGCTGAACCATGGCACAGGCACACCAAATCTTAGGAAATTGGCAGCAAGGATTCTGAGTTTGACCTACAGCTCGTCAGCTTGTGAGAGGAACTGGTCAGTATTTGAATAGGTAAAAAGAAATTTGTGACATGCAGCTTTGTGTGCATGCTATCTTTTTTGAATTATAATGTTTCTTCATGGAATTTAAATCTGACCTGCAGCCTTGCGTTCACTACTTGACTCATAGATTCATACAAAGAATGATCCCAGTGAGTCAATGACCCAGTCCATATCAAAGGGTTCACAAATCACATGTTTCTAGAGCAGTAATATGCAGAATTTAAGCAGCACCATTAATCCATTACAATGGTGTCTGAAAAGTATCACTACCGACGACACCAAAATGAAGCAAGAAGCAACAAGGGCAAGTCTTGACTTCATGCAAGTCCTAGTGATAGCAAGCAGGCCTTCAGCGTTTTACCAGGGATTCTTTCTTTTTGGCGGTGAGTTCTGGGAAGCACAGATCCATCAGCATAGAGGCGTCGTAGGGGTTCCCCAAGCTCCTGAAGGTGTTCCTCTGTTGTTCGCAACTTGTCCATCTTACCTGCATCAGCCAAAATAGCAGAAAAGGTGTGAATCAGATGATAAAGACGCACGATGCACAAGGTAAAGTGATTCTTTATGCTTCAAACAGCCAAGGTAGGAGAGATGTCTCAAAGAAGGCACATTTTCATAGGGCATTCTATCACAAGACCGCAGAAATCACAATAAAGGTGCTTCCCTTCCATATAATGCAAACACAGAACGCAACTCTCATATACAAAACTCCCAATAAGAGGTAACACTGAAGTAAGAAAAGTTTTTTACGTGTGTTTGATGATTTATTAATTGCACACCTACACCAGCTCCCTGGACTCCAAAGTAACAAAAATCGTGGCCAAGCTAAGGTAAAAGAAACATGTAGTTTTCTTCTAACTAACTAAACATGTGGTTAACAACTAGCTATAATCATGCAAAATCAAGGAGAAATATTTCAATTTTGCTAAGAAAGTGTCAAACTGTTGCTTTTATCTATTGATAAAGCTTGCAATAAAAAAGGGCCAATATGAGTACCCTTGGAGAAAAGCCAGGTTGCAGGGAGGTGTCCACTCTTCCATGATACCATCCACAAGGGAGAATAGACCTTCCCATCTTTCATGTCATATAGACTACAATATGTTGTCGTTTTCGAAGACCAGCCATCAGTGTCACCAGTGTAATCATCCATGCAGAAGATATTGTCAGTGTTTCGAGTAAACACCAACAAGTAAATTTGTATTATTGCGCGTTTGGCCTGGATGGTGTGCTAAAAAGACACAAGGTTTATACTGGTTCGGACAGAATGTCCCTACGTCTAGTTTGCGGCTGCCGCTCATGTTATTAGCACTGAAAAGTTCGTAGTAGGGGGTACAAACTAGCGAGAGAGGGACAGGACCCAAGTCTCTGATTGAAAGGTTCAAAGGGTGCAGAGCGCTTGGTTGATGCTCTGCTATGTGTTATGTGATGCGTGGTGTGTTGAATCGATCGGTCCGCTTAGAGGGGTGCCATGCCTTCCCTTTTATAGAGCAAGGGGAAGCAGGGATTACAGATGAGAGAAAGAAGGAAAACTAGAGGCGAAGGTCCTTTGAAGGTGCCGGGTCTTCTTTTTCCTCTGAGCGAGCCCTTCTAACATGGTAGACGGTGCTAGGGACAGATCCATGTTGGGTGCATGTCCACTGATCCTGATAGGGCCATGCTCTGGCTTTGTCAGCAAGTGGTCACGTCCCATCCCTCCCCGGCGGGCGGCGCGATGGACCAGGGCGCTGAGCCGTGACCCTACGGAGAGCAGACGACTCAGTGACCCCACGCCTATTGCTGTAGATGATGTGAGTTTCCTCCTGTACCGTAGTGGTTGTCGTATGCTTCCGTCAGGATCCATGCCCGAGGGCAAATGCCGACGCACATAACACTATAAGACAAATATCGGCGCCCACAACACTGTTCGGGATTCTGACATGCCCGGAAGGGCTTAAAGCGCCTATCTTGTCATATCCTGACGGTACTTTCCTGCAGGCTTGCAGGGTATGGTCCTCGGTATTGCGGTTGACTTGAGTGCCCTGTCTTATCCGTGTGCATAGTTATGAAGGAGCAACGCGTAGTCGTCGGGCAAGGCGGAGCCACCCCCCACGGGTCGGGTGAGGCGGAGCCAGCCCCCGGACGTCGGGAGAGGCGGAGCCTGCCCCCGGACGCCAGGCGAGGTGGAGCCATCCCCCGAGGGTCACGGACGTCGGGCGAGGCGTAGCCTGCCCCCGGACTTCGGGCGAGGCGGAGCCAGCCCCGGATGTCGGGTGAGGCGGAGCCAGCCCCTGGAGGTCGGGTGAGGCATAGCCTGCCCCCGAACTTCGGGCGAGGCGAAGCCAGCCCCGGACGTCGGGCGAGGCGGAGCCAGCCCCCGGACATCGGGTGAGGTGGAGACAGCCCTCGGACGTCAAGCAAGGCGGAGCCTGCCCCTGGACGTCGGACGAGGCGGAGCTAGCCCCAGGGGTCGGGCGAAGTGGAGTCCGCCCTCAGACGTCGGGCGAGGCGGAGTCTGCCCTCAGACGTCGGGCGAGGCAGAACCAACCTTTGGGGGTTGGACGAGACGGAGTTAACCCTCGGTCATTGGGCAATAGGTGTAGTTGCGTTCTTGCCTATTCGGAAGCATCAACGTTTGATGGTTATTATCTCCTCCTCTTTGGGTACCCTAGTATTTGGTCCCCGACAGTAGCCCCTAAGCCCTTGGATGATTCGGATAGAATCGCTCGGGGGGTGATTTGACTTGCCAGAGGGTGCGCGCGAGCACACCCGACGGGTGTAGCCCTCGAGCCCCTAGGCGATTCGGATAGAATCGCCCGGGAGGTGATTCGACTTGCCACAGGGTGCACGCGAGCGCACCCGACGGGTGTAGCCCCCGGGCGATTCGGATAGAATCGCCCGGGGGTGATTCGACTTGCTAGAGGGTGCGCACGAGCGCACCCAACGGGTGTAGCCTCTGAGCCCCTGGGTGATTCAGATAGAATCGCCCGGGGGTGATTTGACTTGCCAGAGGGTGCACGCAAGCGCACCCGTCGGGTGTAGCCTCCGAGCCCCCGAGTGATTCGGACTCTTCGTGGGTATGGCTATGAGATTTGATGATTTGTTAGCCAGATAGCTTAAATGGGATCCTGGTATCCCATTCACGGGGATCCATCCAGGGTTAGCCCGGCTGAGACTCGATCGTGGACCGAGACTCATGTGAAGCTCGTACATCTGAGTTTTGGCCGCTTGTGGGCCCATCCTTTGTCATAAGGGTGCCTTGGGACGGCCGTCAAAACCATCGACGGGCCAGCCCTTCGAACTCTTGGGCCCAGGCGGGCCGGAGAAAAACGCTTTTTGACCCGTATCCCCTTTGCTAGCAAAGAGTCCTGGTCCGTTAGAGGAGAAGAAACGTCCGGCACGTCTTCGGAGGGAAAGGATAGGGATTGCGGGCGCATATCCCACGACATGACATGGTGGTGGATTGTGGCAGGCGCGGTGATCTAGGTGGATGGTTGCCTTCCTCGCATCCGTCACCCCTATAAAACCAAGGGGTTCGCCCCCAGGGTTCCGTACTTAGCCTCCTTGCCTTCGCATCTGCAACCTCCGCCGCCAATCGCCTAATCTCCCTACATCCGTATCTCAGCCATCGTCAAGTTCGCATCCACCCACTCCAATCATTCAATGGAGCCTTGTTGTAGATCCGATATCGCCCTCTAGCACATGGAGGGCCTCATTCGTTGCGGCCTTCTTTGCGCACGGACTGCCGCCGAGGAGTGGCGGCTACCCGGCGATGAGGACGTGTCGTCACCGCCTGAAGGCTACGTCATCTCCTTCGCTCACTTCCATGAACGGGGATTCGACACCCCTGCCCACAAGTTCCTTCGAGGGTTGCTGCATTACTACAAGGTGGAGCTGCAGCACCTTAATCCCAATGGAATCCAGCACATTGCGGCGTTCGGCGCCCTTTGTGAGGGGTTCCTAGGGATTAGTCCCCACTTTGACCTGTGGCAGTACTTCTTCGCCGTCACCCTCCTGAAGAAACAGGAGAAGAGGTAGGAGCTAAACGTGCCGATGGGATGTGCCGGCATCCAGCTTCGCAACAACCGCGTCAATGAGTATCCACCGATGCGTCTATCGACCTCCAACAACGGGTGTCATTCGCACTAGTTCTACGTCAAGAACGACGCAACCGCCCCTTGCCATAGTTCACCGGATGCCTCATCGAAGAGGTCCCGAAATCATGGAGGAGGTGGGGAGTCCCGGAGAAAGACAAGGAGAAAATCCAAGACCATCTCACCGCTGTCCAAATTCTAAAGGAGAGGGGCATGAAGGGGTCGGGGATCATCGGTGCTTATCACGCACGGAGGGTGACGCCGCTGATGAGGCGCGCGTTTCCCCTACACATGATGGCGCCCGAGGCGTCACTCGATGAGATGGCGCTCACCGAGGGAGCACTCTCCCCCTCCGAAGTGGCGTAGCATATCAAGGAGGTGATGAAGCCACCGTGGGACGACGCCGGCGCTATTCTTGATTTTGTATATCCGGTGCCGGGGCATCCCCCAATGCAGCCGGAACCGGGATACATTGTTTTCGTAAGTTTTCTTTCCTCGTGCCTCTTTTTTAATCGAACTCCCGACCTCTTGATGCTGATATTGAGATAGGGGGACCAGCCTAAGAAACTTGTTCTTACGGATCTTTCGGCTCCGCTGCCGAAGGATCCGGCCGTGACAGCGACCAATCGCGCCGCGGCCAAGCGACAGCAGAAGGCGAAGGAGGACGAGAGGAGGAAGAGCAGCAAAAGCTACGCGTGCGGGAGCACAGGGAGGAAACCAGCAGTGATGAAGATGATGATGAGGAAGAAGAAGAAGAAGAGGAGGAGGTAGTTGCCGACACTGAGTGGGGTGACCTGGAGAGCGAGGATACACTAATAGGTATCCCCTCATCCATGTAGGGACCCTTTCCATTTCATGCGGGAGGAAGTGAGTCCATGAGGACGGTGGAGGTGGGCCGAACCATCGCCCGCCCTTAGCACAAGTAGGGGCGGGCAGATCAGCTGCCGTGCCTGAGGTGCCAGTGGACGGGAGTGGCCCCACCGTCGTGCCTCAAGAGTCAGCGGGGGCGAGCGGATCTGCCACCGCACCCGAGGTGCTAGCGGGAGCGGGTAGATCTGTCACCACGCTCGAGTGCAAGGGAGGCGAGCCCCTCGGCTTGGGAGCAGGGGGCGGGCTCCAAACGGCCCTGTCCTGAGGAGGCAGAGCGAGGACCTGGGGGTTCGTCCCCCAAATATATCCTGTGCCCAACGGTGCTGATGTAAGTTATTGACTTCTTTGTTTTCTCTGTTTTTAGCGTGAGTCACGCCTTCTGTTTCTTACAGCGTCCTGAGACAGGGCCACTCTTTGGCACTGGCGCCCAAGAAGAGTGTCGCCATCTAGGCGAGACGTCGGGCGTCGCCCGATGTCGCTCTTGCTTTGGGCGGGAGCGGAGCTGGTGTCACAGCCTCGTTGGTCGGTCAGGCACCACCCGCGGTGG